CAGATGTCAGATTCATCCTTGCCTCAGACTAGAAAATAACATGATCAGCTCTGGGCATGACTGGGCATGACTGGGAGCTGTCTCTTTTTCAACTTCTTGGAGGAAGAGCATGGAAATCTTTCTATTATTATATTCAATACCTGATATTGCAAGTGATCCTGAAGCCTGTGACTCTGACAGGACAAAAATTGCTCTTGGAAAGCTGTTACCTCAATGCTGAAGAAAAACACAGCTTTTCAGTAGACAGAACTTAATCACCTCTCTGTTTACTTTGGTCTCCTCACCTGCCAGGTTCTTGTGAGGTTCCTAAATCCAGATTTTTTTGAATTATCATTAATTAGAAATCATTTTATATAATTTTAAGTACTTCATAATCATTTTATATAATAGTAGAAAATGTCCCAATGTGTGTTTCTGCTCTTTATCATAACGAGTGATCTCTCCGTGTTCCAGCGAAAATTAATAAAGAGGTTTTTTCTTTAATTAAGTCAGTAGTCAAGCAGTTCATGTTCTACAAGCGCTGAATCAGATCTGAAGTTTCCTTTATTTTGTCAAGTGTTCCTTTATCAAAAACTTCAACTCTACTGAGGCAGCCTCTGAGCACTGAGCAGCTCTGCAGGTCAGCAGAGCTCTGAGCAGCCTCTGTGAAGTGTCCAGTGATGAATTCCAGCCTGGGCTTACAGATATTCCCAATCAAACCCGAGTGCACAGGCCAGAAATGGGCACAGAATTCAAAACCAGCGTCATTTGCATTGCTGAGAGAAAATATTTCATCTTTTAAGTCCTTTTCCATAAAAAATAACACAGAGAAAAGATCTTCAGGAGTTTTGCACTCACTGGTTTGGCTACTTGAAACTTCAGGACAACAATAATTCCCTGCTGCATGGGTGAAAATATCTACTTATTATCCTCTAATTTCCTTTAAAATTGCCACTTTTGTCTGGCAGAAACTGTTACTAAAAAGAGTGAAAATAAAGGAAAGTGATACACATTTATCAGCCATTATCAGCCTAGTCTCATGTCAAGCATTAAACAAGATTTTTCATTCAACAACACAGGGGAATTCTCTTAGGAAATTCCATGATCCACATTTAGCAGTAAATGCTACTTTCTCTTTCCCTGAAGATTAAATAGTTTCACTAGTGAAGAAACAACTGAGAAATAACAGCATTTAAAAAATAAATCAGCCTTGCTTTTAACTGCTTTGTAAAACATGGCAGAGGTTTTACCTGGGCAAATTGTTCATTTCTGCTGGTAGATAAAACAACCAAACCTTTGCTCTCCCTTCATCAGAGCCAATATTTCATTAACTGTGCAGACATCCTCTTATTTACAGTTATTTTTCTTAGAAAAGGAGTTATTTTAGGACAGAACACGAATGAGAATAATGTAAGAGACATCACAATGAATCTGATTTCCACATTTAACCCACTGCATCTTTGTGGGCTCGGGGCAGGTTGCCCTGACCTTTTTTTAAGGGCTGCTCAGGATTCTTTAAGGAATCCATCTGCTATGATTAAAGCACACAAAACTTTCATTAGAGATTCTTGGGCTGGATAATAATTTCAGGTTTGGAAGCCTCAGACAGTGAAGGGCAGCCCCGGCGTGGGTACAGAGGCAGAGATGGTGGCAGGGCTGGATCAGAGGCTGCTGCTGAAGGAAAGGTCTGGCAGTGCAAAGCTGACAAATCCAGCTTTGTGCTCGGGATGTCTCATCTTTTCTGGCCAAGGAAGGAGTGGGAACTGGGTCCTGCACATCCCTGGCAGGGGCACAGGTCAGGAGCCCAGAATGCAGAACAGCACAGAGGCGTTTTCCCCTGAACACACTCCAAAAGGATGAGGCTGCTGATAACTATTGTCCAATCTGGGCATTTAACATCATTTTTGTGGAGTTTTAAACAATCATTATAGAGGCACAGGGGGTGTTTTCCTCTGTAAAACTGCCCTAGTTAGAGAACAGGCTTTAACTGCAGCAGCCCACCCAAGGGCTGGAGTTTGCACACAGAAAAGTTTTGAGCTCGAGGTGCATCCCAAAAGGTTTCTGTTCCTCAGCTGAGTGGGACCCTGAAGCCCATCTCCAGAACCCACCCCCAGTAAATCACTCTGGGGGCTGAAGAGCTCCTCTGCAGTCAGAATCAGTCTGGGGGTCAAGTAAAACAAGCAGGAAAATCCCCCCTTGTCTCTATAAACTTCTGGGGGTGTGAAAGCTTCTAAGAAATACTCAGAGAGGGGGATTGTGGCAGCCAAACCCACAGAGATTTCTTTCCTACCTGTTTGATGAGCACAGCTGTGAGAGTCTGAGTCATGGCAGGTTTTTGAAATACACATTTCCTCTCCATCTGCAGGGAACAGAACAGGTCAGGGATTCTGAAAGAATAAAATATGGGAAGGAGATGCAGAGGGAAAACAGAGAGGGGATGAACAATGGTGCAAGGGATGTTTTTCATCCCAAGAACTCGTTCTCCCCTGGCCTCTGGCCCCAGGGCTGTGGGACTCAAACATGGCATGAGAGCTCCAGCAGTGCCAGCTGCATAGCAGCTACAGGGACAGCAGCAAGGACTCCTCTTGTTCACTCACCAGGGGATGGAAAAACAGCAGGTTTGGGTCCAGGGAGTGAACAAGAGCACAGCTGAAGGAGGACTCTGCTCCCTGGGTGCCAAACAAATGTGCTGCACAGTGCCTGGAGAGCAGGCTGTGAGTGGAGCACTGGTCAGAGATGCAGGACAAGAGGTGGGGAGGGCATTTCAGTCACTGATTTCAGATGGTGGCACTTTCTGGACATTGCCAGAGCTGCGAGGAAACCTTCAGCTGTTCCATGAGCTTCCTGACCCGCCCTGAGGCAGCAAAGCCAGGAGATGCCAGCCTTGGCTGGGCCACCCAGGCTGTTTGCCATGGTGGATCTGCACTGCCAGCAGCCCTGAGCAGCCCCAGGCTGCAGCTCCTTCCCCCCAGGCCTTGGCAAAGAGGTGGAAGAGCAATGGACAAGGAAAACTTGGGGAATACACACAGACATCCCCATCCCTAACTCTCCAACCTTCTCTTCACCAGGTTCTGATGGAAAGGGGACCCAAACCAAACTATAATTTCATTTTATACACCATGGACTGGAGCAATGCTCTGCCCTTACTCTGCTCTCCTGTCCAAGACGAGTGGACATCACTGCCCAGGACACTGAGGACAGGATTGTGAGACATCATTCTGGCAATTTTCCACTCCTCAGGTGCAGAGCAGCATTGCCAGGACACAAATCCACTGCAGCACTGGGGTGGATGTGAGAGCAGCCTGCCTGCTTTGCAATAATTGCAATTGCCATTGTTTTTACATTGCAATAATCCCAGTCACTCTCTGGATCCCTGGACATGAAGCAGGAACTGGCAGCTGAGCAGCAGCAACTTTCTACATGAGAATACAAAATATTTTGTGACAGATCATGGGGGTTTTCCAGTGCTGAGCAGAGAAATCCTTCTGGAAATAAGGAGAAAACAAAATATTTAGTGACATTTCAGATCACAGAGGTTTTCCAGTGCTGAGCAGAGAAATCCTGTTGGAAATAAGGGCTCACATGTTGCTGTCTTTCATGCAGACACAGCTTCTCCCCCTCTCAGCACAGGTCTCAGTGTCAGTGTGAGTTGGCTGTCACACAGGAGGCTCCAGCCCACTGTTTTTAGTGCTTAATGGCACAGCTGATGGTGCCATTAATCCACTTGGATGTACAACATTCCATTTCCACTTCAAATTGCACCTCAGTGCAAATGGTAGCTTGTCCTGCTGTCACATACATTCAGAAATTCATGATGCAAACACATTTAATGGCTTCCTATCCCAGCATATTACCTGTGCCACTTGGTGAGCAAATCCCCAGCTATTTATTCACTTAAAACTGCTGCACTGGACACTGTCCTTGTAAATCTGTCACCTGGAGGTTAAATGTGAGAAGTGCTGCCTCTTGGTATTGAACTATGGGTGCAAGACAATAATTCTGTGTGCTCACAATGAAACTGGGAGAGATTTGTTACTTTTTTAAGCTACAAACCTGCAACAGAAGCCCCAAACATTAATATAAGTGGCATTGCACTTGATTCCAAAGTATTTCTGCAAATTAATGAGGTGGGAAGAGTTTAGACATCAGCTTTTGAAAAATCAAACTAAGAAAATTACACCACAGAAATACACAAGGAATGAAGTGCAAGGAAAATCTACCTTATGCTTGCCTGCTCACATGTGATAAATGAAAATCTCCTCAGTGCTGCCGAGGTTTAAATGGGTACAATCCCAGTTCAGACCAGTCCTAGTGGCTACCCAGAGGTGCACGGAGGGCGTACGAGCATCCTGCCTGCCCCAAACCCTCCCACCGAGCAGGCAGAAAGTTTTTCCGGCTGAAAAGCTCATTTTGCAGAGGGATTTTAGGGCAAACCCACGCTGCTGGGTCTCTGCAGAGGGCGCCAGACGGTTTGGGATGTGCCGGGATGCCTCTCCAGGTGCTCCAGCTGTCACTCACAAAGGTGCTCGCTCTCCAGTGGCCAATGCTCTGCTCGCAGGGTGAAGTAGGAGTTGGTTTTTCTTTCTTGCATGTATAAATCCCTTCGTTCTCGTCTCCTTTCTTCGCACTGGAATAGCAACAGATGCTGGGCTGAGCTGCAGCATGCTGGCAGCCCAGCTGCCCCGGCAGAAGGGGAAACTCCCGGCTTTTCATCACCGGGAGAGCTGAGCCCAGCCGTGTCCTGCTGCCGATTCCTCCCTGCAGAGAGAGCTGTTTGCTGCCTGCAGGCTTTGGAGCTCACTTTCTTCTAAAGGAAAGAGCAGCCTGGCATAAAATCCACTGTAAATGCAGATTGTTTGATGTTTGCCCTGGTAAAAGTGGCTAAAGTCCTGCTTGATTGCACCCCATATGCACAGCAGCAGCTTGGAAGGACTCGTTTTCCCTCTTCTTTTTTTTTTCTCTTTTTAACCTGTGCTGCCTCAGGTCCCCAGTCACTGGTGAGCTCAGCTGCTCTGCTGACAATGAACACCACACGCTTTGCATTCTCATTCCAGCCCGTGCTGCTCAACACCACCGAGGACTTCAACGACTCCATCCCGACCAACCGGAGCGGCGACGGATTTTGCGAGCAGGTCTTCATCAAAGCCGAGGTCTTCTTGACTTTGGGGATCATCAGCCTGCTGGAGAACATCCTTGTCATCCTGGCAGTGCTGAAGAACGGGAACCTGCACTCCCCCATGTATTTCTTCCTCTGCAGCCTGGCCGTGGCAGATATGTTGGTGAGCATGTCGAACGCCCTGGAGACCGTCATGATTGCAATCCTCAGCAGTGGCTACCTGATCATTGACGACCACTTCATCCAGCACATGGACAATGTTTTTGACTCAATGATTTGTATTTCTCTGGTAGCCTCCATTTGCAACCTCTTGGTCATAGCCATCGACAGGTACATCACTATTTTCTATGCCCTCCGTTACCACAGCATCATGACGGTGAAGAAAGCCCTGACCCTCATTGTGCTCATTTGGGTGGCTTGCATCATCTGTGGCATCATTTTCATTGCCTACTCGGAGAGCAAAACTGTCATTGTGTGTCTCATCACCATGTTCTTCACCATGCTGCTGCTGATGGCCTCGCTGTACGTGCACATGTTCCTGTTTGCCCGCCTGCACGTCAAGCGCATCGCGGCGCTGCCCGTCGAGGGCGTGCCCCCCCAGCGCACCTGCATGAAGGGGGCCGTCACCATCACCATCCTCCTGGGCGTCTTCATCGTCTGCTGGGCGCCTTTCTTCCTCCACCTCATCCTCATCATCTCCTGCCCCATGAACCCCTACTGCGTCTGCTACGCCGCGCACTTCAACACCTACCTGGTGCTGATCATGTGCAACTCGGTCATTGACCCGCTCATTTACGCCTTCAGGAGCCTGGAGATGAGGAAGACTTTCAAAGAAATCGTGTGTTGCTGCTATGGCATGAGTGTGGGACAGTGCATGCTGTAAACGCCTGGTTTTGGGGTGGAATAAACACGCCCTAGGTGTATAAATATCAATATATTGATGTATATATTGAGATACAGAGCAGCTCACTTTAAACGCAGTGCCTGAAGGAAGGGTGCAGGAAAGACAAAAGCCTCCTACATGATGCCTTGTTTCCTACTTTTTAGAGTGAAAACCGGTTTCAACTGAATTATTTGATGTTTTTTAAATAGTTGTAATGGAAGGAAATCCAGAGTGGCTTACAAAACAGCTTCAAAAACTTACTGGGTAAAAGGAATCCTGAAAGGGAATGCCACTTTCTAGAGACTGAGATACTATTCCCTCTAGCATTCATTTGTGCCTGGTGCTTTATCTCCATGCCACTGCCAACAAGTCAGTGTTTTCTGAAAGATTTCATTGGTAACCTCTGTGAAAAGCTATTTTTCCAAACACCAGCAGGTAACAGCATTGTTCTACACCCACCTTTTAATGAAAGAGTAGGTTGACATTTTTGCTGCTTGCAGCCTGAGTACATTTTCAAAGGGTGAAAGCAAACATTTCTCTTGCTCTGAAATCAGTTATCACTACAGTGTCAGTGACAGCGTGGCTTCAACAGCTGCCTGATAGGATTGACTCATGTGAAGGCTTTTGCAATATTTATTGTGATATAAGAGTATTACACCCTTGAATTTTTGATTATTTTTTTAAAGCTGGAATGCCCTGATCAGTGTAGTAATTGCTGTTTGTAAAACCTCACAGAAGCCTCCTTTTGATAAACCCTCACTAATGAGATCCATGGATCTGAACAGCAGAAAGAGCTAAAATGCAAAATACTTTGAATGCAGCTTTGTGTAAGAGCTGCAGGGAGTCCTTAGAAGGATCCACCTCTAAGTTCAGCAGCTGGAAGGAATAGATGTGTGTGGCAGAGAGGACTTTATCCATTGAGAAATAAATCTCCTGGGGCAGGACAATGTAAATGTCCTTCCTTCAGCTCCAGCCTGCACTCAGGGGCTGGGTCCCCCTGCCCTGGGGACAGGAGAGCACCAGGGCTGGCTGCCACCCTCTGCAGCCCCCTGTGTCAGTGGCACACAGAGCAAGCACCTGCAGCTGCCCCAGCTCAGCCTTTGCCTCTGCTCTGTGAGGAGCAAACCCTGCAGGTGGCCAGCACAGTGTCACCGAGCCAGGGCTGCTGCAGACATGGCACGGGCAGTGGCACCACAGTGCCAGGCTGAGAGCACCCTGAGCCATCCTAGAGGCTGCTTGGCACCTTTCTGGTACCTTGCTTTCAGTGGGAGGGGATCCCCAAACCCTCAGAGTTGTTTGATGCTTTCAAACATCTCAAAGATCTCATTTGACTTAAAACTCTGGTTTATTATCCCCACCTTCTTATTTTGGGTGAAGTTACTGGGTTGATTATTTTTTTTCCCTTGGGACTGCCCTCTGCCAGGTGAGAATCTGTCCATGCACCCAGACCTTCCCCAGCTCCTGTGTCCTCAGTTCTGCCCCACACTGGTGCTGGTGTTCCAGTGCCAGTGGCTCCACACCCAGCCCTGCTGCCCCTGGGGAGTCACATTTCCCACTCTGCACCTCTGGCCTGGGTTTGATCCTCAGCACCCCACAGGGAACAGCCCCATCTCCCAGTCTCATGGGCTGGATAATCCTCCTGGGGCCAAGAGCCACCTCTCCCCGTGCTCCAGCCACACTCTGTCCCACCACACACCAACCTCTGGTTCCCTATTTCTGCTGCCCTCTGATCACACCCAAAATTCCCTAATTGAGTTCTCACTTCCTGTCATAATCACATCCTCCAGACTTCCCCCTTTCCAGCACTCTCTCTGTTCCAACACTTACCCAACCCTATAACCCTTCATTTCAGAAAGGTTAAATTTAAAATTTAAAAAAAAAAGCAAAACCTCACTGTGGAGCAGAGCAGGCACAAATGAAAAATCTCCTGTTTCAAGAAGAGACCAAAGACAATCCCAGTGAGTGGCAAAGCCAAATGCTTTCAGCTTTACGTGTGTGTCACAAAGCCCAGCTCAGCAGCACCAAGCTGTGCTCTGCCAGCCCAGCCTGTCTCACCTTGCAGCAGCTGATGTGGCACAGGGAGGTGAGATCAGCATGGGCAGCCACAAAACTTTTGTGGTGTGCAAAGACTGTGCCTACCTGTTGTAACAAATCTCTGCTTTTTCTCAGTGTTCTGTATCCCTGCACTCTGGAGCATGGTTTGCCACGATGTTCTGCCTCAGGTTATTGTGTATTTAGCTCTTGTTGCACCTGATGTCCTTCCATATTTCTCTGATGTCCTCCTTTTTTCTCTTTTAAAAGCAATTTTAGCAGGACTGATTCACACAGTGCTTTGCCTTTATGCAAAACATACTCTGCTGAATAAAATCTGGAGAGGTCACTGAGAATCGTGTTTGCTTCTGTCAGAGCAGCACACCACAGCAAACCGGTCTGGGGGCTCACAAAACTGAAAACACAGTCTAACACTGGGTAAAAGACTCTTAATTCAGAGAATCTTGGAATGGTTTGGGTTGGAAGGGACCTTTGTCAGCCAGTCCCACCCCTGCCATGGGCAGGGACACCTCCCACTGTCCCAGCTGCTGCTGGCCTGGAACTCTTCATCTGCCCACAGAGCTCCACAAAAAGGAGGGGGAAAAGCCAAATTCTCAGTGCCATGAGCAAACACGACAGGAAGAGAATCCATAAAACCCCCCGAAGATCCCTCAGCCCTTGTGGCACCAGGCTGTGCAGGAGGTGGGGTGGGTTGTTCAGCCCCAGGTGCACACCCTCAGCTCCCAGCCGGCTTTGGAATTCTTGGGGCACTGATGGATCCAGGGCTGCAGGATCACAGCAAGGAAGGACCGTGGGGCTGAGCCCCAAAACAGCAGTTAGAGAGGGAATACGCACAGCTACTGACCGGGGGGGAGGAAAGGGAAAGGGAAAATGGAAGGGAAATGGAAGGGAAAAGGGAAAAGGGAAAAGGAAGGGGAAAGAAAGGGAAATTGAATGGGAAGGGGAAGGGAAAGGGAAAGGGAAAATAGGAAAGGGAAAATGGGAAGGGAAAGGGAAGGGGAAAGGGAAAATGGGAAGGGAAAGGGAAGGGAAAGGGAAAATGAGAAGGGAAAGGGAAAATGGGAAGGGAAATGGGAGGGCAAAGAAAGGGAAATGGAAGGGGAAAGAAAAAGGGAAAAGGGAAAAAAGGGAAAAGGGAAATAGGAAAAAGAAGGGAAACTGAAGGGGAAAGAAAGGGAAATTGAAGGGAAAGGGAAAGGGAAAGGGAAAGGGAAAGGGAAAGGGAAAGGGAAAGGAAGGGAAGAACATGGCTGCACTGCAGCCAGCAGGACAAACAAACATTTTGATGAGAGGGGGGCCCTGGAAGTGGTGCTCAGCCACCTCCAGGGACAGAACTGCAGCAGGACCCACCCAGGAGACCCAGAGCCACGGGCAGTGCCCAGCCCAGCCCCACTGCCAGCCCTGCACCCTGGGGCTGTGCACACAGCAACCCAACCCAGCCTGGGCAGGGCAGGGCCCCTCTGCCCTGCTGGCAGCCACAGCAGCACTTCCAGCTGGGAATCTGCCCCTCAGCAGGGCTGCAGTGAAATACCACCAACTGCAGAGCTGTCACTTGTAAAACAACATCTAATCTGCTCATAACAAGAAATGTTTCTTCCTTCTTTGAGGAGAGTGCTGGGCTGAACAAGATATGTGCAGTTTCCTCCAGCTGGTCTAAGAAATTACAGGCTAAATAATATATTTTGCATCTAAAGGTATCATTATTATGGATTTATTGAGTCAGTTTTTCTGCAGGAAAAATCAAGAAGTTCACAGACACTGTAGGATTGCCATTTGCTCAAAGATGTGTTAGGAAATCCTCATATATTTAAGACAAATATTTGAATTCCCAGGAACATGAGTTATCCTGCTAAGTCAACTCAGCACAGCATATTCTGCCAATTACAGGCAGATTTGTTTCTTTCATATTAAACTCAGCACTGTGCAGGCAATTTCCCCATCAATAATGTCTAAATATTTCATAATTGACAGCATTTGTATTAATGGGCAAATAACCAAGTCAGGCACAGAACTCTGCAGTCAAACAAGGTCATTATTCAGGCCATTAGTACAAACATTACACTGCCACTGAAATTAGAAGTTTCTATTTGTTGAGGACCAGGGTTTGCTGTTTGGTGGCTTCACCTAAACCACTGAGGTGATCTGGGAGGAACCCACAGAGGGGGTGTCACACTGGAAATCCCTTTGCTGTTTGCAGCCCAGTCTCAGCTCCACAGCCCTGGGACCTGGGCACTGAGACCCAGCAGGGGCACAGCAGCTGATCCACGGCTCCCTGGCCCCACATCAGTGCAAAATCCACTCTGATGGGGTGGTTCAAGTCTTCAGAGTGAAATAGAGGAGGGCTGGATGGGATACTGAGAAGGAATTGTTCCCTGGCAGGGTGGGCAGCCCTGGCACAGGTGCCCAGAGCAGCTGTGCCTGCCCTGGATCCCTGGCAGTGCCCGAGGCCAGGGTTTGGAGCAGCCTGGGACAGTGGGAGGTGTCCCTGCCATGGCAGGGGTGGCACTGGGTGGGATTTAAGGTCCCTCCCAACCCAAACCATTCCTCGATCCCCCAGCCCTGCCTGCAGCCAGGAATGTTAACACACCAGGAGCTCCCTCTGGCAGTGCAGTGCAGACTTTCCTCACCCAGGAAACACCTGTAAGGAAAGATCAGGTGAAAAAGAGTCAGGAGAAGGCAGGGTGGGCACAGAGTGTGAGCAGGTGTGCAAACAGCCCTGGGTGCCTGGTGAGGTTTGAGATGTGGGACAGGGACATCCCTGGGGGTGAATATCTTTGGTGCCAGGCAGGAGACAAAATGTGAAATCAAGAGTGTGCAGCTAATTAGGACAGAGATCATCCTTGCTCCTGCCTGATCTCACAAAGCCTGCACCTTACTCCTGTCTTCAGCCTTCAGGACCAAAGAACCTCTTCACAAAGCCCTTGTCTCTCAAAGTGAGTCTGAGCTTA